GGGGGGAGCGGCGGCTGGTGCGGGTGGCTGGGAGGAGGAAAGAGAGCATTTATAAAAATAAAAAAAAGCGGAGCAGGAGGGTGGGATGAAGGAATAAGTAAGAAACGAAGAATGTTTATCTCTAAGTGAGCAGTAACTCACACACACACAGACACACACACAGACACACACACAGACACACACACAGACACACACAGATGACTGGAAACGCATTTATGCATGTAATCATTGCACCAACAGCACAGGGAGGAAACACAAATACAGGAGCACAGCACAGAAAGACAAGGTGAGTTAATCCAGATCGGAGCCCAAGGTGGGACAGGGTACTGAGCGACCACATGCAGGCAGGCAGAGGGCAGACAGGGCACTCAGAGGCCGCTTAGGGATGGGATAATCCTACAGCTAGTCAGTGGCTCACACACAGGTCCAAGCATGCTGTTCAAGAGGGCAGGACCTGCGGAGCTCCTCGCATGCTAATGACTGCAAAGTTTCAACCAGCAAGCCAAAGACGGCATAATGAAATACGTATTTTCACAGAAAGATCATTCTGAGGCACAGCTGCAATTATATGTTATATATGCACACGCAAATACTTCTGGAATATTCATCCAGTTTATCAAGTTCTTTGAGAGCCACAGAAGGGTATTTAAGAGCCTTTGAAGGCCAGGCCATATGAGATGATTGCGTCAGCAGCAGGAGGCACAAAAGAGGCAAACAAGAGGACTTTGTCACCAGAAGGCTATTTGTTCAAGTCCCACAAGAGGAACTGCTGACATCTCACTAGAAAATATAAAAGTTTTAAATGTGGTTTAAGGCTGTTGGGGCATCAGCTGTTGGTGCCATATTCTCTGAAGACCCAGCAACAGCTGAACAGCTGCTGTTCCAAATTTACACACCAATCCCCTGCAAATCTTCATGAGCGAGTTATGATTTGTCTCGACCGAAGACCAATCTATGTAATAATAATGAATATATTTTAATTATAAGGGCTGGCATGACAAAATGGTTTTAAAAGGAGGAATGGGATGTAAATGAAGCGTGGGAAAAAGACCACACAACCATAAAAATAAATGATCACAATTTTACCTTAATGATCAACTGATTGCCACTGATCGATCAAGAAAAAGGAAAATAAAATGAATGACCATTATGGGGGGAAAAAAGGAAAAAGCAAATGTTTCTGAAATATTTATACGCGCATGCACACCTACGGCTTTCAGTTTATACAGGATTACAGGAACCTAAATAAAACATTCAGTAGGGTAAAGTTCAGATGGTATCAAACTGCCACAGTTTGAGCTGAACTTTGAATCCAATGAAGAATTTCATGCTAATAAGAGTTAACAAAACAGAAGGAACTTGCTTGCATTCATCACTCAGTACCATGTGTTTACCGAGCTCACACGACCCGGACGAACGTCATGCGTACAAGCACTTAAGTGTTCAGGTTGTCAGCTGGACATCGACACACTACCGTGTTAATACTGAACACCTCGAGCCAACCTCTTCCAGCTACTGAACTTCACTGGCCGATGGAAGAGAATCGCAGATGAAACACACACTGTAGGCCACTTAAGGAGGAATTTAACCAAACATCTCAAACCCTGGACTTCGAACCTTCAGGACAAGCAGCCAACAAGTTATGAGGCATAAGGATGATGCTGCTGCAACACAAGAAAGCTAATTAAGACGTCACCTAAGCAAGGGTGTGAGTACGAAGGACTAAGAGAGCGCCTCCTGCTGGTTACGGAAGAGGGCAAGCGTGTCAGTGCATCAACTACAGCTGGGATTGGGTCAAATGCCTTTCACTGGAGCTAGAGTGAGTGCCGCGGTCATGCCATGGATGCAGTTAATCATGCGACAGGGGATGCGAGCCCTACCTTGCCGGAGTGCGTGAGCGCGGTGTGGTTCTTCCCCGGGCTGCTGTAGGATGGCCTGAACTTGTACATGGTGGGCGTGGGAGGGGCGTCGCCCAGGAGACTGCTCTCTGCAGGAACCAATGACCAGTCAAGGTTTAGCTGAGGCTACAGAACGAAAGGGCTGAGAGATTGGGTGGCGTGTTACAGACGGCACATTCTTACCCTCTGCGTTCCCCATGGACATCTGTCCCCTGGGGTGACCTGGGTATCTAAGCTCCGGTTTAGGAGGGGGAGGAGCCTCAGCATCAGCTGACTGGCTCTCCATCGCATCCAGGCTGCTCTTTGACTGAGTGAGAGAAGAGGGTGGGAGAGAGGGAGGCACGAGAGACAACTCAGCACAACACGCAGAGCATGTCTCCGACTAAACGCTAGGGTCTCACGGTCCTGAAAGAGCAGGGTCGCCAGCACCTGCGGCCACAGAACACCATGGCAGCACAGAACACGATGCCAAGACGGAAACAGCACCAGCGTCTAAGGCCTACCCGGGTGCTGTGGCCGTCGACGCCATTGTTCAGCGCGAGCTTCGGCCTGAGGAACGGTGGCTGGACCACCACAGTTTGCTCCCTCCTCCACCGGCCCATGTACCTGGGAGACGGCGTTATGGGTTAAAAGATGGCGCTGCTTCAAAACAAACAAACAAGTGCTGAAGCTGAAAGGACAAACCTGGGCGCCTGAGAGCTACAGAGGACGTGCGAGATGTTCCTCCAGCAGCCATTAGTGAAGGGGTTCACGCCTCCCCTGAACTTGCCCGTCACCTGGAGGGGCACAGAGATTCATGCTATGATGATGGGACTGCAATGAGCTGAAGCGTGTGCATGTGTGTGTGAGAGAGAGAGAGACAGAGTCACACAGAGAGAGAGAGAGAGAGAGACTGTGACTGTGTGGGTGGAGAGCTAAATGGGTCATATTTGCTGGGATTATTAGGCATTTAGGGATTAACTCTGCCCCCAGCGCAGGTGCTCAGAATACCACCATTAAAATGTGAGGGAGCACAGAAATGATGTAGTCTCTTAAACTGCCGATTAGGAGCATGACGTTAACTTCTGGAGGTGATAATTAAGCTCAATCAGTAAAAAACGAGCAGCATTTTCATTGCCTTTCTGTTGCACTTCACGACAGTTTACAGGAAAGAGTTCAAGCTGCACCACAGTCTCAAAACATTTTCTTTTAATTTCATAGAATCGTTTTCAGTCATTTTTGATAGGCAATTTACCTAGTTACCCAACCATTGAGGTCAATGCGTAACTAAAACAATGAAGGAGCTCACTAATTACTGAGTCCGTGATGTCACTGAGACCTACCTGCTCGTTAGTAGTTCGTCCCCGGGCCACAAGTACTATGTGGAAGCCAGTAAGGCCTGCTACTGGGATGAAGAAGAGACCGGCGACACACATGACAGCCATGCTGGAAGAAGCTAGATAAGGAAATGAAATCTGACAGGAAATTGCGCTTTGTCATTCGTGCGAGTACCGGTATTTTGGAATGCTGCTTCCTGCATATCCCATTTTACTACCCTTTGAAAGACTCACAAACATAAACACTGTTGAGAGAGAGAAGCTTGAGGCAGGATCAGGCCAATTATCCCCCGGAGTGTTTAATGTGACTGTTCTGCCGATGCTCTAACCGGTGACGTTTAGATTACAGGCACAGATGCTTTTACCCAATGAACCATACATCGCCTCCCTCACCGACAAACACACACAGGAGGGGTAAGAGACAAGAGACAAGCAACGCTGGAGATTAACTGGCCCGGGGCGGAAAAGCCATGAGGATACGTGACAGCGGAGTGCACGTGGTCCAGCTGTTTCGTGTGGTACAGGATGAAGAGCAGGCCGAAGCCAAAGACGGCCATGATGTGGGCGGTCAGGGAGAGCAGGAACAAGAAGAAGTAGCGGTAATTCCGCCTCCCGATGCAGTTGTTGACCCAGGGGCAGTGATGGTCGAAGTCCTGTGGGGAAAAGCCTCAGTCAGATAGAAAACCACCAGATGGAGGCATGAAAACATGTACGACACAGAACAAAGATCCTTCTACAGAAGGTAAGATTTCTCCATCCGGGACACTGGTAAAGCAGAAGGACGGCCAAAATAGCCCACACTGGAGGGAATTCAGAAAGTTCAATCACATTTCTGCATGTAAAAAGACTCATTTCACATCTCCTGTAGAGAGTTCCTTGCAGCCAGTTGAGATGTACGAGCGTGGGCAGATAACCAACTATACAAGCACTCCTATGACGGCGAGGGTGGTCTGGAGCAGAGTCTGTGTGAGGGACATGGTGCTGCATCCACATCTGTGCCCGACGCTACACGTGTGACAGTGCCCTCGTTCTCGGGGGTCGCCCACGGTGGATGAGAGGCATGCGAGTCCACAAGAGCCGTACCTCCACACAGTTGTCGCACACGGAGCAGTGGGAGCAGCGGGGGGGCCGGTAGAAACGGCAGGTGGAGCACCACTTCATCCGCACCTGGATGCCACGGATCTCCACCGTCTTGTAGAGCGGGGCGCGGAAGTCGTCCTCCTTATCCTCATCTTCCTCCGCTAGGAGAGACACTGATATGTAAGACAGCCGGCCAGACGGACAGTGATGCCCAAGAGACACCGGCTGACTCAACCTTCACCGAAATGCCAGTTCTGGAATAAAACCACCACGTTGGTGATGGGCCAAGCAGGTGACGCAGGATGGAAGATCTTGTATTATGCTGCACTCCAGTTTCTCAATTCTACACTTCATCAAGTGAATCTTTAACCAGTTTTAATTTCACATATATACATACACTTACAGTATTATATGTAAATTTACTCATGATAGGTCTTTTATATACAGGGATGGACATAACTGGTATGCAAGTACGCATTCACCTTTAAAAACAATAAGTGCGACAATCGATTGTGGTAACAGTGTAAATGCACACTTATTTTATGTGCATTTGCGGTGATATGTAAACAAAATATAATGCATTTTAATCTTTATATGCTAACTGCTTCAATTGTGGTATACAGGTTAAAATGCAAGGTATTTTGTCATAGCAGCACAAATGCACATAAAATAAGTATGCATCAGCGCTTTTACAAACAATCGATTGTCGCACGTATTGTTTTTATAGGTGAATGCGTACTTGCATACCAGTTATGTGCACCCAAAGATAGTAGATTGTCCAATCAAAACCTGCAACCACAAATCTGTAATACCCATTGATGAAAAGTTAATGAATGTTAAAAAAAGAGGGGGGGGGGTGACACACAGTATGAGGGGGAGATGAGAAGGTGGGGGGCACATGTTTTAATACCTCTGGGGAATATGCCGGGGTCCATGAAGGTGGCCATACAGAAGTTGGCGAGCACAAAAAGGAATATCACGCCATTGTACAAGGGTATGGCCACGGAGAACTGCTCAGAAAGCCAGGGACATCTGGGGGCAGAGAGCCAAGAGGGAGAGGAGGGTTAACACGGCGGGCAGTGAGGGAGAGGACAGCACTGCCAGGCTGCAGTGAGGCTGGGG